CCAGCCCCAGGTGGGCTGGTGCGCTCCCCGCCAAGGCCCAAGGCGCAAGGGAGAGTGGGAGGGGCAAACCCTAGGTCCAGATGGGCCTTAAGGCACACCCTAGGTGCGCCCCCCCTCTCCCCCCTTGGCCGCCTCCCAGATGGGATCTGGGGGCTGCCGCCGCCCCTAGGGAGGGAACCCTAGGTGGGGGCGCAGCCCTCCCTCTCCCCTTATATATAGTGGAGGCAAAGGGGTAGCCCAACACGCAAAGTTCTTCTCCTGCTGGTGCAGCCCTCCCTCCTCCTACCTTCTCCTCCTCCTCCATGGTGCTTGGCGAAGCCCTGCCGGAGAACCACGAAGCTCCACCACCACCACGTCGTCGTGCTGACGTAGCTCTCCCTCAACTTCTCCTCTCCCCTTGCTGGATCAAGAAGGAGGAGACGTCCCCGGGCTGTACGTGTGTTGAATGCGGAGGTGTCGTCCGTTCGGCACTAGGATCATTGGTGATTTGGATCACGACGAGTACGACTCCATCAACCCGGTTCACTTGAACGCTTCCGCTTAGCGATCTACAAGGGTATGTAGATGCACTCTCCTTCCCTCGTTGCTAGATTACTCCATAGATTGATCTTGGTGTTGTGTAGAAAATTTTGAATTTCTGCTACGTTCCCCAACAGAACTCATGCTAGTATACAATGCTGATTATTTATGGTGCATGTTTATGACCATATTCGCTCTCTAGTTGGTCGCTTCCCAATCTAAAATTTGCTAGCCTTCACCTGTACTAAGCGGGAATATTGCTTGTACATCCGAAACCCTTAAACCAGTTATTCCAGATGAGTCCACTATATCTACCTATACACGGTATTACCCTTCCATTCCAAGTAAATTTGCATGTGCCAACTATAAATTCAAGTGAACATCTATTTTGTGTGCCCGTACCGCTCATGGAGCGACAGGGGGTGGTCAATATCTTCCATGCTAAGTGTGTTATTCTCATGATGAGTGTTTATTCACTTGTCATTGCACGAGAGAATGGTGGTAATAGGGATGCCCAGTCCCGAACTATTAAAATGCTAAAACATCAAAACTGCAGAAATGCAAGAATAATGAAAAAGCAAATCTCTCACGGAAGGAAAAAATCCTAATGAAGGGGACTACTTCAACGGAAAGAAGCACTATCTTAATGAAGGGGAGTATAATTTATTTTCTGTTTGGGAACCACCTATAATGTGTTTAGTATGAAAGGTATTGAATACTCTTGGTCGTGACATTGACAGGAAAAGCATGCCTCCCAAAATTAAATTTATCTTTGTTTTAAACTATGAGCTCTGGCACCTCTGCAAATCAATGCTCCCCTCTATGAATGGCCTATCTATTTATTTTTATGTTGAGTCATCACCTTCTCATATAAGCACCAGACCTGAGAGTACTATTGTCATTCCCATGCATTGTAAATAGTTGATGTTGTGTGTTAGCATGACTGGATCTCTTCTACCATGAATTACAATGTTTAGTCGCTCCTTGAACCTTGAAGGTGCTATGCATTTATGTTTTGCGGTCTCAGAAAGGGCTAGCGAGATACCACTATTGTCATATTATATCATGATTGTTTTGACAAATTGTTGGCATTGGTGATATCTTATTATTGCTCGCTAGTTGATTATGCCATTGATATGAGTGAATGGAGTTTCTAAGAGTTATCATGAGTGTGGTTAGTTATGATCATTGTTGAAAACATGGTTGCTATTTAAGCATACATATAGAACAAGAACAAAAGAATTTCCATATGGACCCCGCTACCACGGGAGGGTAGGACAAAAGATGTCATGCAAATTCTTATCGCAAGCACGTATGACTATACACAGAATACATGCCTATATTACATTGATGAATTGGAGATAGTTCTGTGTCGCCCTAGGTTATAACTATTACATGATAAATGTCATCCACCATATGTCACCGATCCAATGCCTACGAGTTTTTCCTATATTGATCTCTGCTAAGTTACTACTGTTGGTGTTGCCGTTACAATTGCTACAAAATCACTGCTGTCACTATTACTACTGCTATCAAACCATCATATTACTGTGCTACTGATCACTCTGCTGCAGATATTAAGTTTTCAGGTGTTGTTGAATTGACAACTCAACTGCTAATACTTGCAAATATTCTTTGGCTCCCCTTGTGTCGAATCAATAAATTTGGGCTAAATACTCTACACTCAAAAACTGTTGCGATCCCCTATACTTGTGGGTTATCAAGACATATCGACCCCTATGATTACACGAATGACATTCAAGTGATCCTTTGGTTATTATGTGATGTTCCCTTTGCTTCGCGATAGTTTACAAAACCCGGGGTGCATCGGTATCCTCCTGAGTCATCACCATGATCACTATACCATTGCCCTCGTTACCGGTTTTGTTCTTCTTTCTCGTTGAAGTGTTCTGGCATCCCCGTGATGTAGGCACCTATGTATGGCCACATGATGATGGATGTCGTCACGCTGAGAGGGCCCTAAGAATATCTTTTCATCGTCGGAGGAGCAAATCCCACTCGAGCTATCCAGTCCCTTGTCAGACTTTCCGATGGACCGGTAAGTTGTCGTTATGATCACTGTGTTACAGATGACGTTTGAGCAACCCCAAAGTCCAACGTATGGTAGGAAGTGACTGCGATACTCTCATGGTCTGAGAAACTAAAACGCATGCTAACACTTTGTGTTATAACAATTGATTTCAGACGATATTATCTCAAAATATAACAAACAAGTTTTGGATCGATTATATATGATCGTTCTTTTAACGTCATATTCTCAAGATTGTTTTACTATCGTTACACTTAACAATATCCTATGATCCAGAAAACATGATCATCAACAATACTTGAGCTAGTCTTAGAGGCAAGACTTAGAACCTATTCTTTACCGTTTATCTCCACAAGTGCATATGAGTTTTCCACTGAATCGCATATTCCAGGATCATAGCAGTTATAGCATGAAATATAAACTATTAATTATAAAAATGAAAATATAATAATACAATATTATTGCCTCTAGGGCATATTTTCAACACTAAAGCCGTGTCATATTGACACAACTCAATTGTCCTACTTGTCGTAACATACACGCAACAGCTAACGGAAGACATTAAGGTCACAAAGACCGAACCAAAGGCAATAACTTCAATGGATAACCGTTTACTGCTAGGTAAGAGATGTGCCCCTTAAGATCCAACACCTGTCACCTGGAGGTCTATCAGATCGCACAACTACCTATCAACTCCATGTGTGGACTGGGGAGTTAGATGTCTCTAAATACGCCAATAAATCAGACATCTCCAATCACTAAATTATCGTAAAGGTAAATAATAACACAAAGAGGACACACATAAATAGATGATGCATATCAAATAACCGGTTACTACGCGACAACACCCATAGCCAATAATTACTCAAATAAAATCACATAAAAAGGAGGTTCAAGAGTTGTTACAGCCCATCACGGAGACCGTGATGGGGAAGGGAGAAGGGGCATTGGTGAATAGATGGAGATGGGGGCTTTTCACAACCCCCATGTGCCTCTTGATGTGGATGGCGGCTGGGCGTGGGAGAGATGGATAATTGATGGTCTTTGCCGACCGCTAGGGTTGATGGTGATTATATAGCCGGCCTCCACGGTCTCCTCTGCGAATGTAAGTTCTCTCCTTTAATCCAAACACTCTAGATGAACCAGAACCTTTCCCAATACATCCCTTAATGGACAAGGAAGCAATCTGAGTGATTTCGGGATATTCTGGCTGTAGTACGACCACATGTATGACCCTGTGTGGTCGTACCATGCTCTGTCGTTTGCATTAGACCCTTTAGTACGCCATTTCTTCGTGCGAATTGGGCTTTTGACGTTCATGGACTCGTTGGAATCACGTGAATGATGTCTATGTATCAGTGGTATTAGATCTTAATTCAATCACTTTGGAAGATAATCATTTTTGACACTCCGAAATGCCTAAGTATGGTGTCTGAAAGTCCTTCGTTTTGATCCCTTTCATCGTGCTAAGTCCATGGGAGTTTCACATTACCTATAAAACACACAAAAACAAAGAAAACTAATAAAAATTAACAAAGACTAAAGGTTATGCATTGCTCACAGTGAAAAGAGTAATAACAACTGAAAATCATGCATAATAGACATGCTATATGAAGATAATATGCAACAACTGAGCTCTAAAAATATGTATAGAATAGAGCCACCAGCCACTTGCGTCCTTCTATGTATAAGCAGTGTTGCTGTGGCGTGCACCTCCATGATCCGTTCCGATGACGACACACATGTTGACCTAACTTGAGGGCTAGAGAAAATCCAGTGCAACCACTTTTTTTTCAGTACAGTGCAATAATACTTAGGATTATAGATTCCATACTTATGAGAGTTTGAGAGGTTTGGTGAAGGGGAAGGGATCACCAAATCTCCTCTGAATTCTAGACCCTTTGATGGTGGAAAAACAGTAGTGCCAAAACAAGACCTCGGTGTAATTTATCTCTCTCGAAAACTAGATGCACCAAATCACGTTTTATAAATGTTGTGTAAATAAGAACACCAATGTCCCGATCACAAAAATCACCTTTGTTGGAAAAATGTCCCACTTTAATTATTTTTAAGGGAAACTCTTGCCTTCAGCCATGTGTCGTTCGCGTCTTTTTTTCTGCAACATCATGTGTGTTGCAAAATTGTCTTCCGCAACAATTGCAGCGCATGCCCCTGTCTTTGCGTCAAAACTAAATATTTCATGAAATTGCAGCGTGTTGGCGTGGGGGCGGAAAATCAAGTTTTTTTCTTTTGGTGGGAGGTGAAAAATGATGTAAACGCAGTTTCTTTTACTGCTCACCCACCACCCACCACCCACTAAGAGGCCAGGCACGACTCGCAAATCACAACTGGCCTCCAGGCGCGCAGCAGAGCAGCCTTCCGCTTTCGCTGCAACTCCGAAATCAACGCCGGCGGGCATCGCCCCGTCGGCATGGCCGACGCCGCCGCCGCCGCCGCCCCTGACGAGCTCAACAAGTGGTGGGAGACCTTCAACAATGGCGGCGCCGTGGAGGATGAGCCGATGGTGGACTCCGACTCCGATTTCGAGCAAGGGGGGCAGGACGCGGAGGAGGAAGGCAATGCGGGCGTGGTGGCGGGCGAGTGCCACCGGAAGGTGGAGCCGGACGCCCACGCGCCCGCCGGGAGGGAGGGCTGCAGCGGCGCCGCCCGCGATTACGATGGTAATTAAGCGGCACACTCACTTGCTTAATTGATTTGGCGGCAGCATTAATTTATTTTCCATTTTAGATCGCCGCGAACGATCACCCCCTGCTTTCGATTCCTGCTTTCACCATCTCGTATGTCGAGTTGGAGGTACTGAAATCGCGAGCAGCTTCTAGAATGCTTCGCGGATAGATTGGGGAATTTTTGGGGGGCTCCAGTAATTCAGTCCCTAATTTAGGGTTTGTCGAGAAAACCGTTGAAACCATCGATTCCACAGTTTGAATCCTAATCGACGATCTTCCAAATGTATTAAGAGAGATCACTTCCCCGGAGCAGAGCTTGTGGTGGCACTGCATCGGACATGCGAATCTTCCTGCAATTAGTGCACACCTTGTAGAATTTAAGAATTACACTACTATAATTAGCACTAGCTGCAGTGTAGAAAGACACTTTTCTTGACTTGCCATGCAATTGATGTTATATCTATGACTGTAGATTGATTGGATTTTGAGATCTGAGTGGTGTTGCAAATGAAATTTTCTGTTACAGAGAAGGAGATTTCTGAGGATGGCCATTTTCAGCTTGAAGGTGTGCTGCCGGGAATGAAGAGAGAAGCAGCCGCCGGACGAAACACACCGCGGGCTACTGCAGCTGAGATCCAGAGCGTAGAAGGTCAAGGTATAAATTTATCGCCCCTTGTTGCAATTGGTACCTATAGAACACAATATCCATGCTTGATTGATTGAATTTTCTGTGGTGCATAAGCGGAATGTTCAAATGCAGAGTACGTTTCTGAGGATAACTATGTTGGAGGTGAGTTCCAAGGAAAGAAGAGGAAAGCAACCGTGACAGCCGGCAAACTGGAGACTGTTGGATCTGCAATCCTGAACAAAAATGCTCATGGTATAAAAACATCATCACTAGCTCTTAGTACTCGCATGTTTCACAATACATCATCACTAGTTCTTATCACTATGACTATGGGATTGATTGGATTTTGACTCCTGAGTGGTGGTGCGAATGCAAATTTCAGTTGCGGAGGAGATTTCTGAGGATAGCCATTTTCAGCGTGAAGATGGGCTGCAGGGAAGGAGCAGAGAACCAGCCACCAAACTAAATACACCGCAGGCTTCTGGAGATGAGATCCAGAACGAAGAAGATCAAGGTATAAAGAAGTATTGATCACCCCGGCTTGCAATTGTTACTTATAATACACAATATCCATTTATGCAGTTCATGAGTAGAATGTGGGCTTCGTTATCTCTGAGATTGATTGCATTGAGTGTGTGTGAATGGAATGTTCAAAACTTCAAATGCAGAGGGGTATGTTTCTGAGGACAAGATTGGAGGTGGGCAGCAAGGAAGGAAGAGGAAAACAACAGTGGCACCCAGCAAAGAGCAAATGACTGGAATTAGGATCTGGAAGAAAAATGCTTATGGTATAAAAAGCATCATCACTAGCTCTTTGTACTTGCATATTTCAAAATACTCCATGCCATTTCTCGGTAATATTTTGTATCAGTGCAGGTGAGTGTCTGAGAGCTGAGAATCAGATGCTGAGGCTGCAGCTTGTTCGCAAGACGAAAGAGCTTGAGGCTGAACAGATTCGGAGACTCGAGCTAGAATTGCATTTTATGAAAAAGGAGAATGAGTTTCTGAAGAAGCAGCTTGAAGAGTTGAAAGCTGAGAATGAGTACTATAAGAAGACCGTAAGCTCTACACAGAATGCTATACTCGTACCAGCATGCAAAACAAACAACAACAACAAAGCCTTTAGTCCCAAGCAAGTTGGGGTAGGCTAGAGGTGAAACCCATAAGATCTCGCAACCAACTCATGGCCCTGGCACATGGATAGCAAGCTTCCACGCACCCCTGTCCATAACTAGCTCTTTGTCGATACTCCAATCCTTCAGGTCTCTCTTAACGGACTCCTCCCATGTCAAAATCGGTCGACCCCGCCCCCTCTTGACATTCTCCGCACGCTTTAGCCGTCCGCTATGCACTGGAGCTTCTGGAGGCCTGCGCTGAATATGCCCAAACCATCTCAAACGATGTTGGACAAGCTTCTCCTCAATTGGTGCTACCCCAACTCTATCTCGTATATCATCATTCCGGACTCGATCCTTCCTCGTGTGGCCACACATCCATCTCAACATACGCATCTCCACCACACCTAACTGTTGAACATGTCGCCTTTTAGTCGGCCAACACTCCGCGCCATACAACATTGCGGGTCGAACCGCCGTCCTGTAGAACTTGCCTTTTAGCTTTTGTGGCACTCTCTTGTCACAGAGAATGCCAGAAGCTTGGCGCCACTTCATCCATCCGGCTTTGATTCGATGGTTCACATCTTCATCAATACCCCCATCCTCCTGCAACATTGACCCCAAATACCGAAAGGTGTCCTTCCGAGGTACCACCTGGCCATCAAGGCTAACCTCCTCCTCCTCACAGCTAGTAGTACTGAAACCGCACATCATGTACTCGGTTTTAGTTCTACTAAGCCTAAACCCTTTCGATTCCAAGGTTTGTCTCCATAACTCTAACTTCCTATTTACCCCCGTCCGACTATCGTCAACTAGCACCACATCATCCGCAAAGAGCATACACCATGGGATATCTCCTTGTATACCCCTTGTGACCTCATCCATCACCAATGCAAAAAGATAAGGGCTCAAAGCTGACCCCTGATGCAGTCCTATCTTAATCGGGAAGTCATCGGTGTCGACATCACTTGTTCGAACACTTGTCACAACATTACTGTACATGTCCTTGATGAGGGTAATGTACTTTGCTGGGACTTTGTGTTTCTCCAAGGCCCACCACATGACATTCCGCGGTATCTTATCATAGGCCTTCTCCAAGTCAATGAACACCATATGCAAGTCCTTCTTATGCTCCCTATATCTCTCCATAAGTTGTCGTACCAAGAAAATGGCTTCCATGGTCGACCTCCCAGGCATGAAACCAAACTGATTTTTGGTCACGCTTGTCATTCTTCTTAAGCGGTGCTCAATGACTCTCTCCCATAGCTTCATTGTATGGCTCATCAGCTTAAGTCCACGGTAATTAGTACAACTCTGAACATCTCCCTTGTTCTTGAAGATTGGTACTAATATACTCCGTCTCCATTCTTCTGGCATCTTGTTTGCCCGAAAAATGAGGTTGAAAAGCTTGGTTAGCCATACTATCGCTATGTCCCCGAGACCTTTCCACACCTCAATGGGGATACAATCAGGGCCCATCGCCTTGCCTCCTTTCATCCTTTTTAAAGCCTCCTTCACCTCAGACTCCTGGATGCGCCGCACAAAACGCATGCTGGTCTCATCAAAGGAGTCATTCAGTTCAATGGTAGAACTCTCATTCTCCCCATTGAACAGCTTGTCGAAGTACTCCCGCCATCTATGCTTAATCTCTTCGTCCTTCACCAAGAGTTGGCCTGCTCCGTCCTTGATGCATTTGACTTGGCCAATATCCCTCGTCTTCCTCTCCCGGATCTTAGCCATCTTATAGATGTCCCTTTCACCTTCCTTTGTGCCTAACCGTTGGTAGAGGTCCTCATATGCCCGACCCCTTGCTTCACCAACAGCTCGCTTTGCGGCCTTCTTCGCCATCTTGTACTTCTCTATGTTGTCTGCACTCCTATCCAGGTATAGGCGTCTGAAGCAATCTTTCTTCTCTTTAAGCGCCTTCTGGACATCATCATTCCACCACCAGGTATCCTTATCTTCGCTTCTCCTTCCCCTGGACACTCCAAACTCCTCCGAGGCCACCTTACGAATGCAAGTCGCCATCTTCATCCACACATTGTCCGCATCCCCTCCTTCCTCCCAAGGGCCCTCCTTAAATACCCTCTCCTTGAACACCTGAGCTACCTCCCCCTTGAGCTTCCACCACTTCGTTCTAGCGACCTTGGCACGCTTATCCCGCTGGACACGAATCCGAAAGCGGAAGTCAGCAACCACCAACTTATGCTGGGGTACAACACTCTCCCCAGGTATCACCTTACAGTCTAGGCACGCACGCCTATCTTCTCTTCTCGAGAGGATGAAATCAATCTGGCTAGTGTGTTGGCCACTACTAAAAGTCACCAGATGTGATTCTCTCTTTCTAAAGAGGGTGTTAGCTACAATCATGTTGTAGGCTAGAGCAAAGCTTAAGACATCTTCTCCTTCTTGATTAATTTCTCGTACCAGCATGCCTCTAGATTAATTTCTTCACAAGCAAATTTGCAAATATGTTTGAGTAACTAATGCCACTGTCCTAGTACTATTGAGCAGCCTGTAGATGTTCTGTGTATTACAAATTACTACTTTGAATTCTGCCTTAGGCCTTATATTCCTAGGGCCATCACATGTAGTTTCAGTAGAATGCTATAAAATGTATTCATCGAGCAAGTTCCATAGAGTAATATTTCTCATTGACATGTCCCAAAAAATTGATATAGGGGCTATCGCATCTTTACAATGGAATAATTTTTAGAAGCTGCACATGACTTGTCCTGGTGGTATTCTTTCTTGTATTGCCAGTAAATCATCCATTTAGCTGTCATATATGACCATGCCATGTCCTCTGTTTAAAACATTTTTTTCCACTTACAAGCACTTGTATGTATTCACTGACTAGATCCTTTGTGCGTACCAGGCAAAGCCACAAAAAACCCGAAGGCTGTGCAGGTTCTGTAAGGAATATGTCGACCACGACTTCCGCAACTGCCCCGAGAGACACGCTTCCGCTTGTTCTGAAGAAGACGACGGCTCCATCTAACATCCTGTAAAGTTATGCTGTATTACACTAGGATCTGTAGAATGTGCTCGTGCGGCAGTGCGCAAGCCTTTTGTTGATTTTAGTGATGCTTTTGCAATTATATTAGCTCTAGTGGCAGCTAGTTACCGCGTATCTTAGAAACAGGTTTGATGCAGAAACATGAAATGTCTGCTGCACTTGATCTGTTAAGCTCCTCTGATGTTTATGTGAACCTGAAGGCTAGTCTGATTAGTATTGAATCTTCTGTGAAACAACGTACTAGCAAAGCAAAAGTTATTGGTTGTTCATTACTCTGTTGCCGGTAAATCCTCCATTTGCCCGCCATATGAGTATGCACATTGTAGGACTATGATTTGACCAGATAGTCAGAAGTCTGCACAAGGAGTTGTTCCTTGGTCGTCCTTCCCACACACTCAGTCAACAGCTCTGAAAGAAGGTGCGATTTAATTTAGGCCTGAACTTAAGCGTTAATCGGGCTTATTCTGATTGACTTAACTATTCAGGTTGGAGTTTCTCTGGTGATAAAACTGACAACAGGAATATTGATGACTTGGAAATGACGACAACAACAAAGCCTTTAGTCCTAAATAAGTTGGGGTAGGCTAGAGGTGAAACCCATAAGATCTCGCGACCAACTCATGGTTCTGGCACATGGATAGCAAGCTTCCACGCATCCTGTCCATGACTAGTTTTTTGGTGATACTTCAATCCTTCAAATCTCTTTTTACAGACTCCTCCCATGTCAAATTCGGTCTACCCCGACCTTTCTTGATCACGCTTTAACCGTTTGCTATGCACTGGAGTTTCTGGAGGCCTGCGCTGAATATACCCGAACCATCTCAGACGATGTTGGTCAAGCTTCTCTTCAATTGGTAATACCCCAACTCTATCCCGTATGTCATCATTCCAGACTCGATCCTTCCTCGTGTGACCACACATCCATCTCAATGTGCGATCTCCTCCACACCTATCTATTGAACATGTCACCAACCAACACTCAGCGTCATACAACATTGTGGGTTGAACCGCCGTCCTATAGAACTTCCCTTTTGGATTTTATGACATTCACTGCACTCTCTTGTCACAGAGAATGCCAGAAGCTTGGCGCCACTTCATCCATCCGGCTTTTGATTCGATGGTCCACATCTTCATCAATACCCCCATCTTTCTGCAGCATTGACCCCAAATATCGAAAGGTATCCTTCCGAGGCATCACCTGCCCACCAAGGCTAACCTCCTCCTCCTCGCGCCTAGTAGTACTAAAACCGCACCTCATGTACTCGGTTTTAGTTTTACTAAACCTAAAACCTTTCGATTCCAAGGTTTGTCTCCATAACTCAAACTTCCTATTGACGCCCATCCGACTATCATCAACTAGCACCACATCATTCGCAAAGAGCATACACCATGGGATATCTCCTTGTATATCCCTTGTGACCTTATTCATCACCAAAGCAAAAAAGATAAGGGCTCAAAGCTGCCCCCTGATGTAGTCATATCTTAATCGGGAAGTCATTAGTGTCGACATCACTTGTTCGAACACTTGTCACAACATTAGCATACATGTCCTTGATGAGGGTAATGTACTTTGCTAGGACTTTGTATTTTTCCAAGGCCCACCACATGACATTGTGTGATATCTTATCATAGGCCTTCTCCAAGTCAATGAACACCATATGCATGTCCTTCTTTTGCTCCCTGTGTCTCTCCATAAGTTGTCATACAAGAAAATGGCTTCCAGTGTCGACCTCCCAGGCATGAAACCAAAACAATTGTTGGTCACGTTTGTCATTCTTAAGCGGTGCTCAATGACTCTCTCCCATAGCCTCATTGTATGGATCATCAACTTAATTCCACAGTAATTAGTACAACTCTGAACATCCTTCTTGTTCTTGAAGATTGGTACTAATATACTCCGTCTCCATTCTTCTGGCATCTTGTTTGCCCGAAAGTGAGGTTGAAATTCTTGGTTAGCCATACTATCACTATGTCCCCGAGGCCTTTCCACACCTCAATGGGGACATAGTCAGGGCCCATCGCCTTGCCTCTTTCCATCCTTTTTAAAGCCTTCTTGACCTCAGACTCCTGGATTCGCCGAACAAAACGCCTGCTGGCCTCATCAAAGGAGTCGTCCAGTTCAATGGTAGAAGTCTCATTCTCCCCATTGAACAACTTGTCAAAGTACTCCTGCCATCTATGCATAATTTCCTCGTCCTTCACCAGGAGCTGGTCTGCTCCATCCTTGATGCATTTGACTTGGCCAACATCCCTTGTCTTCCTCTCTGGGATCTTGGCCATCTTATAGATGTCCCTTTCGCCTTCCTTCGTGCCTAACCACTGGTAGAGGTCCTCATACGCCCGACCCCTTGCTTCACTGATAGCTTGCTTTGCGACCTTCTTCGCCATCTTGTACTCCTCTATGTTGTCTGCACTCTATCCAGGTATAGGAGTTTGAAATAATCTTTCTTCTCCTGAATCGCCTTCTGGACATCATCATTCCACCACCAGCTATCCTTAGCTTCACTTCTCCTTCCCCTGAACACTCCAAACTCCTAAGAGGCCACCTTACGAATGCAAGTCGCCATCTTCATCCACATATTATCCACATCCCCTTCTTCCTCCCAATGGCCCTCCTTAATGACTCTCTCCTTGAACGCCTGAGCTACCTCCCCCTTGAGCTTCCACCACTTTGTTCTAGTGACTTTGATACGCTTATCCTGCTGGCCACGAATCCGAAAGCGAAAATCAGCAACCACCAGCTTATGTTGAGGGACAACACTCTCTCTAGGTATGACTTGGAAATGACATTCCAGGAAAAGGCTTTCTGGGTAGGGAGGCACGGGGACGGACGGGTCTGCGAGACCGGAAATAGGCTAATTACTGCTACTTTAAAAACCAAGGTAATTAACAAAATCATCAATTTTGCATGGTCATGGGCCCTTGCGGACACATCCATCTGCATCCCTATATCTAGGCAATCTGGAATTCATCGACTCCTTTCTTGGATGAGGATTGTCTACTTTTATGTAGCTTCCTTATATTGATAATTCACCGTGTCGTTTATATCATTTATTCTGTTTGAAAAGTATAAGAGCACCACTACACGGTTAGATGAACAATGTGCTAGCATAAACTTCATGACTGACCTCTTTATCTTGTGGTCGATTCCATGTCTTCCGACATACTCTCCTTATTCGGGTTTTGAAGGACTAATCTTGTGTCAAGTTAAATTTCTTTCAGTTTGACCTGAGAATGATAGATGTACTATAGAACTAAAAAAAGATGTACTCTAAAGGATATTCTATAACATACTATAATCTTGATCACACTTAAAAATGTGACTTAGCACCGGAGAAGTGTACATTATACTAACTGAATGCCCGTGTGTTGCTATGGAATAATAAATTTAGACAAAGAGACAATGATCTTAACATCATTGTAACTCACAGTGTGTTCATCAGTTTGACCAAGTTCATAGAATGATAGATGTACTATACAACTAAAAAAAGATGTACTATAATCTTGATCATACTTAAAAATGTGACTTAGCACCAGAGAAATATACATTATATATCAGAATGGAGGGAGTGTCCAATAAAACCTTGAAAGTCGAATGGAGAGAGTGTTGCTCTTGATCACTAAAAAACAACAACATTAGGGATGTTGATTGTGCATCTCCACCAATGTGTAGGATCTATGCTTGTTCTCCTCGCCGGAAAAGAAACAAGAGTCGATTTAGTGTAGGTGACGGTGACATTGTATTACTTTATTTAAAAAAGTCAAATGCCATATATTAAGTAAAACATGTTGTTATAGAAACAACCTTATAGAATTGAAAAATACATCCAAATCTTTCGGGGTGCCGAAATCTTCTTCCTTCTACATCCATTGGCGTCACACCATGAGCAAATCCTGCCGCCTCCTCTGTATCTCTGTATTAGCAGAGGAAACTTGTTAAAACTGTCGGCGTCGCTGACGAAGGAGCCCCACCTGCAGGAGAGGTCCAGCCCAGGAGTGCGTGGCCCAGCCGCGGACACAAGCCCAATTCTCGCTACTACGGCCCAGAATGGGTAGCGACCAAGACCTCATCTACTTAAGCGCAACTCGCCCACGAGAAGGGGCATGCAGAGGATCAAGGCAGAACCCGGCGGCGGCTACCTAGATATCTTCCTGTAGTTTCCCTTTTTGCAAGAAACTGAACCCTGTATTCGATCGAAATTGCTACTACTTCGGAGAGCTGTAATAGATCGATTCCCCTCCATTATCCATCACCTTATAAAAACCCATGAACTTGTAGAAGCAGCGGCCGGCTCCTATGCTCTGTGTAGCAACACAAAGCATCGCATTAGAGAAAAACTTCGGAGGGGGAGTTTAGAATACAGATGCTTTAGCCGCAGGAATGAAATGAATACCGATGCTTCTTTGAGTAGCATTTTGATTTTTTTTCTTTAGGAAAATGGAATGGAATTGCAGCGCGTGGGTACAGTGGAAAGGTGAAAAGTTAAGTAAACTCGATAATTTCGTCGTCAGTCCGCACCCACCACTCGCAAATCACAACCGGACTCCTGAGAGAGAGAGAGGGGGAGAGTGAGAAGCACGAGAGTCTTCCGCTTTCGCTCCGGCCAACATCCGCATGGCCACCACCGCCGCCGACGTACCTGACGACTTCAAAAAGTGGTGGGAGACATTCAACAATGGCGTCGCCGTCGACCAAGGGCAAGACGACGATGAAGACGGGACGGACTCCGATTCCGGTTTCGAGCAGGGGCAGCAGCAGGAGGAGGAGAATGCGGGCGAGGAGACGGCGTCGGAGGCCCACGCGCCCGCCGGGAGGGAGGGCGCCGCCGGCGATTGCGACGGTAATTAAGCGGGAGTCTCACTCGCACGCACTTCCTTAATTACATTTTCATTTTCTATCGCCGTGGACGGTCACCCCTTGCTTCGATTTCTCGCCGCCTCCATCTCGCATGGCTCGCAGCTCCGGAAATCGCAAGCGGCTTCTAGGATGCTTCCCCGATAGATTGGGGGATTTTTCGGGGGTTCAGACCCTGATTTAGGGTTTTCTCGGGGAAATCGTTGAATCGATCGACTCCACAGTTTGAATCCTGGTCAACGATCAGCCAAATGCGTTTGGTTTCTATGCAGTCAACACAGTTTCCACGCCCTCTAGAAAAACCAGTTCCCAGGAGCAGAGCATTTGGTACCACTGGATCGTAAACTCAAATGTTCCTGCAATTAGTACTAGCTGTAGTGTAGATCGACGATGTTCTTGATTTTCCATGCAATTGGTGCTATATCTGTGAGATTGATTGGATTTTTGAAACCTGAGTGGTGTTGCAAATGGAAAATGTCTGTTGCAGAGGAGGGGGTTTCTGAGGATAGCCGTTTTCCGCGTGAAGGTGAGCTGCAGGGAAGGAACATAGAAGGAGACGCCAAACTAAATACACCACGGGCTTCTGAAGATGAAGGTATAAACAAGTATTGACCACCCCTTCTTGCAACTGTTACTTATAGAACATAATATCCATGTATGCAGTTCATCATGAGTAGAATTAGAATGTGTGCTTTGTTATCTCTGAGAATTACTACATTTTGAGTGGTGTGCGAATGGAATGTTTAAGTGCAGCCGAGCATGTTTCTGAGGACAGCTATGTTCAGATTGGAGGCGGGCTGCAGGGAATGAAGAGAACAGCAACCGCCGAACGATACGAACCGCAGGCTACCGGAAATGAGATCCAGAACGAAGAAGGTCAAGGTATAAAGAAGTGTTGATCACACCTTGTTGCAATCTGTACTTATAGAACACAGCAGTTTCATCATGAGTCGAATGCATGCTTCGGTATCTCGGAGATTGATCGCGCTTTGAATGGTGTGCAAATGAAATGTTTAAATGCAGACGAGCACGTTTCTGAGGACAACTACGTTAAGATTGGGGGCTGGGAGCAAGGAAGGAAGAGAGAAGTAACTGCTAAACGAAACGAACTGCAGGCTACTGGAATTGAGATCCAGAACGAAGAAGGTCAAGGTATAAAGAAGTATTCATCATACCTTGCAATTGGTACTTATTTTAGAACACAGTATCCATGTATGCAGTTTCACTTTCATCATGAGTAGAAAGCGTGCGTCGTTATCTGTCAGATTGATTACATTGTGAGTAATGTGCAAATAAAATGTTTAAATGCAGACAAGTATGTTTCTGTAGACAACTACGTTCAGATTGGAGGCTGGGAGCAAGGAAGGAAGAGGAAAGCAACCGTGACACCCAACGGAGTGCAACCGATTGGAATCGAGATCCAGAACAAAACAAGTCAAGGTATACAAAAGATAATCACTAGCTCCTAGTGCTCGCATATTTCAAAATACACAATGCTTTTCTCGATAATATATTTTGTATCAATGCAGGTGAGTATCTGAGAGCTGAGAATCAGAGGCTGAGGCTGCAGCTTGTTCGCAAGACGAAAGAGCTCGAGGCTGAACAGATTCAGAGGCTCGAACTGGAGTTGCATTTCAAGACAGAGGAGAACAAGTCTTTGAAGAAGCAGAATGAAGAGTTGAGAGCTGAAAATGAGTACTACAGGAAGATGGTAAGCTCTACACGGAATTCTACTCGTACCCGTGTGCCTCTAGATTAATTGCTTCATAGGCAAATTTGTAAAATATGGTTGAATAACTAATCCCACTGTCTTGACTACTGAGCCAGCTGCAGATGTTCTGTGTATTACATATTACTTTTCATTCTGCCTTAGCCCTTGTATTCCTAGGGCCATCACATTTATTTTTATCCGGATGATATAATGTATGCGTTAAGCAAGCAACCTCCATATTGATATTTCTCATTGACATGTCCCAAAAATCGATATGACTAGCGTATCTTAATCTTTACAATGTAATAATTTTTAGAGCTGCACATGACTTGTCCTGATGGTATTCTTTCTTTTATTGCCAGTAAAATCATCCATTTAGCTATCATATGACCATGCCATGTCCTCCGTTGGAATCATTTTTTCCACTTACAAGCAGTTGTTATATTTATCACTGACTAGATCCTCCTGTGTACCAGGCAAAGCCACAGAAAAAACGAAGACTGTAAGGAATATGTACTCAATCATGACTACCGCAACTGCCCTGAGAGGCACGCTTCGACTTATTCTGAGGAAAGATGAATGCGATGGCTCCAACTAACAGCCAGTGAAATTATGTTGTGTTAATACCTAGATAGTATGATTTAGTTAGGTAGATTCTGCTCACATGGCAATGCCTTTTGTTGCTTTAGTGATGCTTTTACAGTTATGCGAGCTGTAATGGCCGCTAGTTATTACTTATCTTAGAAATGGGCTTGCTGCAGAACATTAAGGTGTCTACACTTGTTGATCTGTTCAGTCTCCTCTGGTGTTTATCTGAACGTAGGTGTATTATTCGTACTGAATCTGTTGGGCAACGGCTGACTAGCAACGGAATGGTTTTATGGTTACATGTTGATCTGATTGGTCGTTAATCACACTGCTGCCAGCAAATCCTCCGTTATATATACATATGTCTGCGATATGAGTTTGGCCAGTTACAGCAGCATAATTATGTCATGGCGTCTAAGCGTCCCCGTAAGGCGACGCCTTAAAAACATGGCGACCATGACTACCTCAATTGCGCTGCGAGGCGGAAGTGAAGTGACGTGCTTCTGCTTCTTCTGAAGTGGCGGAAGTTTAAGGAATGATATGATCCCAACTTAACACTCGGCTGATTATGTAATGTTAATGCCCACTCACAAGGATTTGATTAGATAGAATCTGCTCCTGTCCTGAGCTGTAATGAAGATACATTTTGTTGCTTCTAGTGTCTTGTTGCAGCTATATGAGCTGTGGTTACTTAGAAATGGATTTGCTGCAGAACATGAAGATGTCTGCGCTGCACTTGATTTGTTTAGTCTCTGATATTCATGTGAACTTCAGGGTGCTGGGCAACGACTGACGACTGATTAGCAAAGGATGGTTACATGTTAGTCTGCTTGGTTGTTCATTACGCCGGTAAAATGTTGTTTTCGTGCTCTCTTTTCTTTTCTGTGAATAAATTATCATCTGGTCATGCCAATTTTGTCAGTTTTCTTGCTAGGAGTGTAATTTAGGGGTTACCTGGCCTAATGCCTTTTGTTGCTTCGAGTGATTTTGATTAGTGTCAAAAGCCTGCGGACGTATTGTAGCAATATATTTACCTTATGTTTCACCCACAGTACTTGTTCTACATGTATTCAGATTAATTACTTCCCTACTATAGTTTCCTCCACTCTCAACAGTTTCTGAAAGGGGATGCAATTTTGTTTTTGGCGTATACTTACGAAATAAAGATGGCATTAATCGTATTTGCTCTGATCAACTTTCTGGGTAATCTGGCATGAGATGTTCAACGAAACTATTCAGGTGTGAGTTCTTTTGGTGTAACAACAGATAAAGATCGTTACTGTAAAAGGACAGATAAAGATGGAGCAGAGGAATACTTATAACTTTTCTTGCGGGATGAATAATGATAACTTGGAAATGTCAAGATGGGACTGGATAATCCATAATGTGCTGATTCTTCTGTCTACTTTCATGTAACTGTCGAACCAGCACCTTAAGAAACTCTGATTTATTTTGATAATCCAGTTAAAGAAAGGTAAAGCACCCAACTTTTACATTGAACACTAAGATAAACATGTTGCTAAAAACAAAAACAATCAGATAACTAGCGTGCACCTAAGTCCATTAGATAATTAATGACTTATCTTGTTAGGAAAATATTGAGCACTAACTTTTACACTGAATACTGACATGTTACCATCAAGTACAGGAGTTCATGAAAAAAAAGTGGAAGTGGAGTTTTTGCACCTGAGTTCACACGCTCTCTCACGAACAGTAAAATAAAAAATAGTAAAAAAATCAAAAAATTCTGTGTCTTTTGTGATAAACATAGATGAATGTTTTCATTGCATGCAAAAATCTGTGATGAAATGACATTCGTGAAAATGTGGGCAAAAAACAAAATTGATGCTTCGAAAAGACTATTGTTGGAAGTATCGATTTCATTTTTTTTTCACATTTCCACGGATGTCATTTCATCACAAAATTTTGCACACAGTGAAAACATTCATCAATGTGGATCACAAAAAATTTCATATTTTTTTTGAATTTTTACTATTTTTTTATTGTATTGTTCATGAGGGAGCATGTGAGCTCGAGATCAAAAAAGCACTTTCGAAAAAAAGTCACTTATGTCTACATTCATATTTTATGATATGATCATAATGATTACCAAAAGTCAAGAACACTATATTGGAAAAATCAAAGGACAACACTCACATACTTGCATGTCACCAACTTGTGCCTAAGCCGCTACTCCCTCCTCCCATAATATAAGACCCTACTGCATCAAAAAAAAATTCACGAATACGCTAAGGATGCGTATCTTTCCATTGATAGAAGGAGAATGTTTACAGCATAGGATTAGGACGACACACTATGCCATGTACACAAGAGAAAGGCATGGAAGTGGGCGTCGAGCAAACAAACGGGGTTGCTCATCCCCAAGACTATCCTAACCTAGCGCTCCGGGATGATGTTGGTAATCGTGGTGGCTCCGGCCTAAGCCCAGAGGCGTGCTTCGTCCTTGATGGCTCAAATATACTCACATATTTGATATAATAAGGTCTTATATTACGGGAGGGAAGGAGGGAGCACTAAATACTTGTAATTATTTTACCTATTTGCACCAAGAACATGTGCTTGGTGTTAATTATTTTAAACCACTAAGGCCCTTCCCAGTGCTCCACCATGAACAGGTGCTAACATGCCACATAAGCAAAAAAATGACATGGCACAACAATTAAGGAGGAGAGAGAACACTTTGGTGATCTCAGGAAGAACCAATGCCAAGCACGTGAACCTAGGCCAACCACTTAAATGGAACAACTTAACCAATGCATGAAAGACTTTAGGTGCTAACTCATTAAATAAAATGAGCTTAACAACAACAAGTAAGCTATTTAATGAACTTAGCACCTCATCTAAGCACCTTTGCATTGGAAGAGGCCTTAGCCTGGTCATAGGAAGTAACATAAGTAGTAACATAGATGCCACATAAGCAAAAATGGTGAGGTGGCATGTAGTTAATAAGGAGAGAGACAAATAGAGTAACATAAGAACATGGTTAATAACAAAGCCTACCGCTGGGTATATGCCAATGCCACATTATATAAAGCCTGTATAAAAGCCTACTAATACAATAGTTTGGCTGTATGCTAGCTAGTACTATTTAATGTCTGCATGTAAAGAGAGGCAGGTATACAATCTTGATTGGTGGAAGGGAAAGGAACGCCTGCTCACACCGCTGCATATTGTTGCTTTTCTTGTATCTCACGATGCAGCGGGCTGTAGCTGGAGCGCCCGCTCCCTTCTTTTTCTTTCACTGTCTCTCCTCCAGCAGTGATTTTTTGTGACGTGGTACTGCTTATAGCCGGCTGACTAGACCTATTGTACTTGCTCTAACATGTTACCATCACATAGCACTTCCCGATGCAAAATGAGTCTACAAAGTAATAAATGAACATATCTATGTTAACACACATATGACACTACCCACAATAAAGGTAGTAACATAGACTCAGAGATATGTGTGACATCGGTCTATGTGAAACATCTTTCATTCAATGCAAGGCCTACATACAAGATCAGACACCTTAAAAAACTATTGAGTTACACATACACAGTGACACTATGAATATAGTAAAATAATAGTCATGGGTTTCCGCGATGGGTTGGATCTAGTGGATTGTTTGCCTCGTTAAACAAAATCAAAGTTGATTTATCCACATCCGATTTTTCTATAAAGAGATTATGTTAAAAATTTGGATGTAAATTTCCAAAATGTACAACAAAATATTCTTTTTAAGATTTGAATAGTAATAAAGTCTTAGAAAAAAATACCACAAGTGATTCTTGTTTAGAGAAAACACCCGAAGACATTTCTGTTGTTAAAAAAGAGAGAGAACATCAGAAGACACTTCTTGCTAGCATCAGAGGGCAATTCTTTTGGGCAACTTAATCCCCAGCTTAAGAAATAAGTCGCTCCCTAAATTTATTGAGACTTCTAAATTAGTTATCCCATAACTAGTTTAGAAGCTTCATTGAACGGCTTATGAAAAAAGCTAGGAAGGAGGCGGCTTATTTTCTTTAAGCCGTCAAAAGAATTGGCCCTAGATTTATTTTTCCTACCTTCACTCTCTGCCTCCTCCCGAAATTCCCCACACCTACGGCCTACCCATACACCGCCGCCGTGCCAGCTGCGGCTGCCGCAGTCGCCAAAATCTCTGGGAGACGGGATGGCAGAGGTGTCCAGGCGGGCGGCAAGCAGCCTCCCCGAAGAGCTCCTCGTGGAGATCCTGGCGCGGGTGCCCTACCGGTCCCTCTGCCGCTTCCGGTGCGTGTCGCCGTCGTGGCGCGCCCTCTGCTCCGACCCCGGCCTCCTCAGGCGGTCGCCGCAGACCCTCTCCGGCTTCTTCTGCCCTCGACGACCTCCGCGAGGACAGCTTATGCCACGCCCTCGACGACAATTTGAGAGAGAGATACGTTTCCTCAATTTTCCGGCCGCTGGTCGATCCGTCTCTCCCTTTCCTGCGGGTGCGGGGCGGCGGCTATACCCATGGCTTCATACTCGTGGATTGCTGTGGGGGACTCCTCCTCTGCGCGTGCTTCACTTCGCCCACCCAGTCCCGCCGACAAGTGGATTATCTGGTCTGCAATCCGGCCACCGAGAAGTGGAGCGTCTTGCCTCGCACCGAGGGGCTGCACTCGGGGAACTTGCTCCGTCTGGGCCATGACCCAGCTGATCCCTCCCGCTTCACCGTCTTTGTGTTACTGCGGCATCACGGCAATGACGACCAACTAACTGGAGTTGAGATCTACTCGTCCCAGACCAGAAGATGGACTTCAAAGCAGAGTGGGTGGCCTCAAGAAACTAGTGTTGGTTTCTATGAGGCAGCTGATTCTGTCTTCCTGGATGGCACTCTGCATCTGCCCACCGACGGGTTTTCTTCTCTTTCGGCTCCTAAGGTTGTCACCGTGGACATGGACGGCAAGACTTGGCAGGAAATTCCTTTGCCAGGGATGCATCGGCCAGTCTCAAAGGCGCTTGCACGCTGTGAAGATTGATCACGTTAATGATAACGGCAGGCTACTCTCAGTTTGGGTTCTTAAGGATTATGCTAGTGGACACTGGACCCTGAAGCATACTGCAAGCATTTCAGAACTGCTAGGAAGGCCAAGGCATCTTCGTGGATATGGGGAGTCCTATACATTGATTGGTATCCATCCGGACTGTGATTTGATTTTCTTCATAGATGAGATGGAAGGAAGATTCATGTCGTACGCTATGGATAGCCGGAAGGTACATGTTGTCTACAACCAAGAAGAATACTACCGTGAAGCGAATCATCCTTACACTCCCTGTTTTGCTGAATGCTCAACTACCAGATAGTCACTGAAAGACATGTGACCAGCGCCCTCACAATAAACAAATAAAGATTTTGAATATGGGCCAGATCTGTAGTTATGGGGTAAGTTGCTTGGAAATGTTTTGCCCCTACTTCGATTTGATATTCCTGTTTCATGGTCTTCTGGTGCATGCCCTGTTTGATATGATGAACAATGTATGGAGAATTCGAAGACTTTTATTCTACTGTTAGTTATGTGAACGTAGCTAGCCACTTGATGAGTTAACGTATTTGCTTTCATGTGCTTGGCTGATGGCCACTTGATGAGTTAACGTTTGTTAACGTATTTGCTTTGTACGCGGAAAAATGGTGGCGACAACACTTAGAGTGACTTCGATGGTGCTACTCGAGCAGCCGATCGTGAGCTCCGTGCTGAAAGGCTAGGTCTCACCCGAGCTGGTTATACCGGGATGACGATGTTTTAATGTCGTTACCTTGTTGGAGTCATTTCTCGGATATGCTCGGATTGATTCTTCAGGGTGAAAAGCCTAGATTTCGGCCATGGTACTTGGATCCGGCGACTTCTGCATTTGAATGTTGTTTCCTTCTTGAAAGCGTTACTATTAAAGAGCCTCGTTGTCTGCGTGGTGTAAAGATGGTTGGTGTAAATATGGTCATTGTTGTAGTTTGCCGATGAGTCAATTACACTGTTGGTGTCACAACTTGTCCTGAATGTTCATTTTGGTGTTACAAGTTGTGAGATACGTCAAAGTGGTGAAAAAACTTGGCTCAATCGTTTGCATACGGTGCTTTTCTCAGTTTCGTACGAATCAAGCGCTGACTAAGCAAGACAGCGTGGCGCGGGTCCCATTGGCAGTGACCAGAGGCTGTGGGCTGATGCGTTTAGCATGGGTTATCTCAGAAACCCCCTCAGATTTCACGTTTTTGACAAATAAGCCCCCGGGTTGGCTGTACACAGGTGGCCTTTCCTTATAACTGTCAGACAAACAACAAAATATGTTGTTTTAACAGAAGAGAGCTTTCAAAGTTGAACGGAACTTGCATAGTAGCCCATTGGCTATAGACAAAACAGTACCACCTATAGATCCTTGGTTCGAGTCCCAAAACCACCATTTTTTTAATTTTATTTCTCATACTGTTAAAATTGTTCTAAATAGAATTTTCATAGCAAGGTTTCTGCATAACAGTTTCACGGAAATCATAAAAGCAGAATATAGCATCATATTAAAAACTCCACATTTTTATTTCTCATACTGTTAAAATTGTTCTAAATAGAATTTGCACAACAGTTTTATAGAAATCATAGAGCAGAATATAGCATCATATCAAAAACTCCACAGGAAGCATTTCTATATGAAATGAAGTAAAATTTCAGAAAAGAAAACAGTTTCACAGAAATCATAGAGCACAGGATAACATCATATCATCTTCACAATAATCATAGTGCAAAGGATGGCATCATATCATCTTCAGAGAAGTCATACATGAACTAATTTAGAGATGATAGCATCATATTCATTTGAGCATCCTACCAAAAGATATGTTCAGCTCCTGACATGTTTCAACTTAAGCAGAGGGCTAATTTAGTTCTAACAATCCAAAGAACAAAAGTTCATACATGAACTTGATTGCATTTTTTTCCAGTTCATTCATGAACTAATTTGATATGCAGCTTGCTCTATAAGGTCTGGAAATCATCAAGCCACTCCTCTTGTGGTGCATTGTGTCACTGGGACCTCCTCGGCTCGCACATATGATCTAGGTTCATCTGGTGGAAACATGATGTTCCACAGCCCAGCTCCTGGTCCTGTCCTACCTCCTGTGTGACCTCTCCCAGTCCCGCTGGCACGACCTCTCCAAGTCCCTCTCCCACTAGCTGTCCCAATCCCTCTCCCATTTCCTCTCACAGGTGCTCTGCCTACTCTTGTGACATTTCCCCTGCCTCTTCCAATTGCTCTCCTCTTTCTCCCTCTTGCATTTCCAGTTGCCTGGTAGCTTGCTTCAGGGACATCTTCAGGAATGTCTTCTGTCACCCCTCTTCTTCTAACCCTGCCTGTTGCCATTGCTGTGGTAACCCTGGGAGGGGGTATGCTATCTCTAGCATTTGCAACAAAAGCTGATTCTGGAAGAGGTCCATGATCCATTACGGGCACATATGCTCTCCTCTCCTAAGTATGAAACAATGCAACAATTTTCAGATAGAGTTTTGCATGGTGAAATCAGAATATAATGTTTGGTAGAAAAAAAAATCCTTACCATTTGTGGTCCTCAACTCCTCTCTATAATCCCACAAGTGCTTGAACTGGTCATCATCTTCACCTCCAATCTGCTTCACTGAATCTCTTCTAGCTCTTCCTAATTTGGTCCTACTTGGTATGAGATTGTACTCTTGCTGAATCTTCTCCTCAAATTTCTTCAAAGGCATCTTCTCATTGTCCCTGAACTCATCTCTAAATTTTTTGGTTAAAAATGGAGCAGTTAGACCTTTAAGGTTCCATGACTTAGGGAAAGTGTGCTCATCACAATACTTCTTTATAATGAAGCAGTTTTTCCTGCTGTCCTTCACTGCTTTCATGTACCATGGGCAAGCATTACTGCATATTGCTTCAACTGTAGTGCTTGTGTTTCTTGTCTTTTTTATTGCAACTCTGTTTCTTATGCTATAAGAAGTTATAGCATGTCTGAGCTCCTACACACTACCAAACACCATTCCTAACTTAAATACAGGAGCATTCAGATCTGTCTCTGGATTGAAATCTTTGAAATGGTACTTCAACTTGTCCCTCTCTTCTTTGGATAACAAGATGTGAGGGTCATCTAGAGCATCCTCTGCTAGCTCTGTTTCATAGTCACATGTTGTAAATCTTTCTCTGTGATCATCCACTTCTTTGTCTACATGATCTTCAAATAAATCATCATCCCCATCCTCTACATCATAGTCACTGTCAAAAAATTCCTCATCGGTCTCAGAATCTACTGCAGGTTCTACGTCTTCTTCGTCAACATCATCATCAGCACATCCCGAAGATGATCCTTCAAAAAACAATCCCCTTGCCCTCCTCTTACTTCTCACAGTTGCAACTTTAGGTGAGGTGGCTTGTTCTTTTCCCTTGTCTTTCCTTGGAGTTATGACCTTTGGAAATTCAGGAACCCCTTGAACTACAACATCATCTCGTACCAAATTGTTTAGTGTATCTCCATGGTCTATGATCAGCAATAAGTTCTTGTGTTGTGTACTAGCTGCTATCATTGCAAGGCTGTCAGCATCACATTTCATTTCTTTCATTTCTTCACTAAGTGTCCTTCCAGGCTGACACCAAAACACTTCATGTTGTCCACTATCTCTGTCATACCCCAGCTGCTTAAGAAAATCTTCAATCCACAATATAGACCATGTGTCACTATCACAACTATCAAACCAATCAACTTGATAGTCCATGTATGTCCTGTTGCTGCCAGTTCCATAGAAAAATCCCTTGTGATGAATCTCAACAGTGAACAATCCATCAAAATCACCTACAATGCATAAACATATTCAGATGACAAAGAACAGTCCCTTACAATTATAATTCTGTTCAACAAGGCAATGCAAATATCTAGTTTTCAATTAACAGAGCAGACAACAAGCCCTGTCAAGTATTCAATTAAAGATGCACATGTTATTTACAGTTAACCTGCTCAAATATTCAGTTATAGCAGTGTCGAAAAATTCAGTTAAAGCAGTGTCGAAAAATTCAGTTAACATGTGTCGACAGATTCAATTAACAAGTGTCGACAAATTCAGTTAAGTACAGATTGGCAAATACAATATAGGGTTGTGCGCACATACACTGACTTGACTGAAGCTCTCAGATTTTAACTAATATCCGATTTGTTCATGCAAAAAACAAGGGGCCTTCTAAACCCATCCTAAACCATAGAGACAAACGACGGATGAATGCGAGGGGGGATTTTAACGTCACGCCATCTAAAAAGCATCCGCGGACGAAATCAACACAAAACTCAACATTCGTCGCCGGCGAACCAACCGATGGAAACCCTACAAAAAAACAGGGGCTAAAGAGGGGGAAAGTTGGGGCTGTGCTCACTGTATACAGGGGCTGCCTCGCCGGGAGCTCGCCGGCGGGGTTCCATCTTCGTCGACGCCGCCGATCAACATGTCCTACAGATCACCGCCGCCGCCGCCTTCAAACGATCGACAGGAGGAAAGCTCGAGGCGAGGGAGTCGAACAGGCAAGTCAATAACGCAGACAGGAAAGGCCACCTGTGTACAGCCAACCCGGGGGCTTATTTGTCAAAAACGTAAAATCTGAAGGGGTTTTTGAGATAACCCATGCCAAACGCATCAGCCCACATCATCTGGTCACTGTCAATGGGACCCCGCCACGCTGTCTTGCTTAGTCAGCGCTTGATTCGTACGAAACTGAGAAAAGCACCATATGTGAACGATTGAGCCAAGTTTTTTCACCACTTTGACGTATCTCACAACTTGTAGTACCAAAGTGAACATTCAGGACAAGTTGTGATACCAACAGTGTAATTGACTCTTTGCCGATCATGTTCCTGACCACTTTATTTTTTCTTTGTTACTCGCCTACACATAGCTTTGGTCTTATATGACTTTGCTATTTGTTGATGTATTTTTATATGTGTGCATTAGTGTTGGCTATGTGCATCATAACTATACAGAGGCTGGTTGTGTGCTCTTTAAAAGAGAATATACCACATCCGAATCATAACAAGGACGAGGGCCGACGGGGACGGATATCAAAACCATGGCACTATGTATAACAAACAACATACGGGTATGACAAACAACATACGGGTATTTAATTTAAGAAGAAGAAAAATACTCGCATCCATCAGGAACATCACGAAGGTTAGATCTGGAGCGTACCGAGGGTATGGAACGAAAGACCTGACAGCGTGCACCGAAGTCACCCCTCCTCTTCCAAGAAAGAAAGTTAGAGTTCCTGCCTCTCGCCGGCGCCGCCGCAGGTCCGCCTCGTCTCCGGTGGCCCTAGGGCCATGGAGGCGCGGTGGATCCTGCCAAGGGCCGGCGGGAGGGCTCCGCTTTTAGTCGTTTTTTTTCTTATTTTGTTAGGGTTTGTGTCCTGTTCAGGAAGACGAGACGGCGGCGGCTCCCTGAAGATGGAATAAAGGTTTCCCCGCCTAGCCCCCGTTCCGGCGGTGCGTCTAGCATCGTTGGTGGGCGTGCGGAGGTGTGTCTCCGACGGATCTATCTTTGATGAATTTGCTCGGATCTCCTCGGTGTTCGTCTACTTTCGTGTGTCTTCGGGTTGAATCCTTCCAACCTACGTTATTCTTCGTCTGTGGCGGTTGCTGTTCTGGTGGGCTGGTCCTATGGGGCCTTAGCACGAGAACTTCCCGACTGTCTACTACAATAAGTTGTGCCCGACTCCGATGATGGAGGGGTGATGACGGCGGCGCACCTTCGGCTCGCTTCAGTGCTTGTAGTCGTCGCTAGGTGGTCTACGGATCTGAATGTAATTTTTATTTCTGGTGTCCGTTGTACAGCCATGATTGAAGATGAATAAATTCGAAGTTTTTAGCAAAAAAAGGTTAGTTGAGCGGCGGCAACAATCATGGATGATTAGGGCTTCGATGGCTATGAGCTCGATCACTTGGATGATGGAAAACACTACGGTGGATTAGAGGATGCCATGAAGCACAAGAAGAGGGAGTTTGTTCGCACCACTGGCCCATGCATCCGTCAATGTCAAAGCCCTCAAGTCAACCTCGTCTCCCCACGGACTGTGCCTTACGGGAACAATCTACGGACAGACGTGTCCTCCGACTCTCCGAGGCTCCGACTAATCGCTTCCCTCCACTGTGATTTCAGCTGTGGGTTACTTTATTCCAATCTGAGCTTGCCACATCAGACTGTAGGATTTATTCCGTGAGATTTGTCCACAAGGAATGTTTTTTACAACATACCTACGGGGTATTTCTACAACTCCAACAACATTCAGCTCGAAATTCGATCTATAGCAAGATAGTTCCCTAAAAAAATAGATTTGTAGATAAACAAACAAAAAAGACAACATGATTCTTGAGATTTGTGCATGTGACATGGATGTGCATTGCCACTTGTTTTGAGAAATTTTAAACTAAAACCGATCTCACGGATCTCACCTGACAACGGATCCTACTATTATAGTCTCCAACGTTCCCGGGGAGTGCGCCTTCAAAACTAGCGCTGCCATTCTTATCTTATATAAAGAAGCAGGTGGAGCTTACAAAGGATGAAGCACTGAAGCTGGCATAACAACAAAACATGGCTCCTCTGACTCCCAGGCTTGTGGTGCCCGTCGATGTGAAGAAGACGCCATGGGAGCAGGAGGTTCAACTCCACAACCGCTGGCATCCGGACATCCCTCCCGTCGCCGATGTGACCGAGGGGGAGTTGTTCCGTGTTGAGATGGTCGATTGGACCGGAGGACAGGTCAGAGACGATGACTCCGCAGATGACATCAAATCTCTGGATCTCACCACTGTAAGTATATATGCATTTTATTTGTGAGCTTTTTCTATGGAAGAAATGTCGTTTGATAATAGCATATCACCGGATTCGTTAGACAAGGCGCCGAAGATCGTTCGATCTAGATCATGGGGTTCAAAGTTGATCCTGTTGTTTGACTATGGTTTGATGCTCTGTTTATTTCAGTAGAAAGAGTGGTATTTCTCTCTCATATGCATTAGACAAAAGCAAGTCTTCTGTGCCACCAAACTGAATGTGTGTGGGTCTTCTACAGCCTCACTATCTCAGTGGCCCACTTAGGGTAGTTGATGCTGAGGGGGTTCCAGCTTCACCCGGCGATCTTCTCGCGGTGGAGATCTGCAACCTCGGCCCGCTTCCCGGCGATGAGTGGGGTTATACCGGCATATTCGAAAGGGAGAATGGGGGCGGGTTCTTGACCGACCACTTCCCAAGTGCAAGAAAAGCCATTTGGTATTTCGAAGGGATTTACGCACACTCCCCTCAGATACCAGGTAAGAAATTGCTGCTATTTATTGTTGTGAATTTTGTATAGAAAATGAGGATTACCCCCGATATTTATTGTTGTGAATGAAGAGTTTCAGCTTCAGATCATTCAATAGTTTCATTTTTGTGCATACCAGGTGTTCGGTTTCCGGGGTTAACTCATCCTGGTATAGTGGGAACTGCACCGTCGGCCGAGCTTCTCAATATATGGAACCAAAGGGAAAGGGAATTGGTCGATACGGGCCACGAGTCTCTGAAACTGTGTGAAGTTCTACACCAGAGACCCCTTGCTAACTTACCAACCTCCCACAGCTGCTTACTTGGGAAGGTACGACGTGTCCATCGATACTTTGTTTATATATGGTTATTAAAGAGCTATGCTAACAATATATGCAATGCTCTGCAGATCCAAGAAGGGACTCCTGAGTGGCAAAGGATTGCAAATGAAGCAGCAAGGACCATTCCTGGAAGAGAGAATGGGGGAAACTGTGACATAAAGAATCTAAGCAGAGGCTCCAAAGTTTATCTGCCAGTATTTGTTGAAGGAGCAAATTTGAGTACCGGTGATATGCACTTCTCCCAAGGTGATGGTGAAGTCTCATTTTGCGGAGCGATAGAAATGAGTGGATTCCTTGAGCTAAAGTAATTGCCTTAATTCTCAGCTGAACTGTACATGACTTGCCTGTCTTGATGACAGAAAACTGTCATGTGAAATTCTGCTGATTCATTTTTTGTGTAGGTGTGAGATCATAAGAGGTGGCATGAAGGAGTACTTGACTCCTGTTGGTCCAACAGCACTTCATGTGAACCCTATCTTCGAGATAGGCCCGGTGGAGCCGCGCTTCTCGGAATGGTTAGTCTTCGAGGGCATCAGCGTCGATGAGTCGGGGAAGCAGCATTTCCTTGACGCATCAGTTGCCTACAAGCGTGCAGTTCTCAATGCCATTGAATACCTTTCCAAGTTTGGGTACTCCAAGGAGCAGGTAGGCACTAACCAGGGTTAATTTTATATTGTCACCTCGTAATTAAGTACTCTACCATCCCCGCAAAAAATGGAAGTACTCTACTATGTACTAAATAAGAGAGGGACATTATCCTTAGTTCTGAACTTTGGGTTATGTATGCAGGCCTATCTTTTGTTGTCATGTTGTCCATGTGAGGGTAGGATATCTGGAATAGTAGATGCCCCTAACGCAGTGGCGACACTTGCCATCCCGACAGCGATATTCGACCAGGTATACTGCAATAGCCCCAACACAATATCTTCTGCACCCTTTTTGTTTCATCTTCTTAATAAGGACAGAACGACAAAGGTTGCGGTTGATGCCTTTGGTCTGATCTTGGATCTGGCTGAAGCTTCCTGTGCTACATTTGTTTGACGATACCAAAAAATTGGTGTCCACAGATAGCTAGTAGAGAAATGTATGTAGGTTTATGTATCACAGACAGCAGATCAATGCTGATATTGCTAGGTTATATTACCCAAAAGCATTGTGTGTGCCCAGTTACTCCATGAGGATGTGAGTCTAGTCAGTAATGTGCAAAGCATGGCTCCTGATAGTATCTCCTTCATTCGTAAGCGTTTTCAATGTTACGAGTACTTTTATTTAGAACTCCAGGTGCATGACATTTCAATTGTTAACATGTGTAGGATATAAGGCCAAAACGCCTGGGGCATGGACCAAAACTGAGGAGACTTCCGGATGTTCTGAGATGAACATACAGTGGACCATATATGCAGTGGAGCACAAGACCAAAGCGGTACAAGGACACCATGGCATCAATCAAACGTCTAAAAATAATGCGCGATCATGTTTACACAATCTCTTATAATAAATCTGAGTAACCATCTTTATTATTTCAACCATCATTTATGTATGTGTGACCCTGAATGTGGACCAGTAGTTGTAATGCCGTATTGTCTATTGAGTTCTCTCTTGTCTATATTGCTGCAAAGTTTTGTGATGTAGGTGATGCAAGCATTTTGCTTGTTATTACTATTGAAATTATGCAACTCTCCAAAGAAATTAGAGGTCCTCTAACCCTCTAGGAAATGGGTTCCGAACCCCTTTTTAGGTAATATAGTGGGAGTTGTGCTGCCGATCCGCACCTTTGATATGTTTCAACAGAGCTTTCAGATTGAAAGTTCTTTGTACTCGTTCCAACAATGTAGTTCATCTTTCAATGGTTGGTGATACATGATCGGATCGGTCTCACAGATTGCTCTGGCTCTTGAATGAGAACAGAGAGTTCTATATACTTCCTCTTCATGCACAAGATGGAGTGAGGTTTTCTGTTAAATTTTCTTCGCCAAACTTTCCTCCTCTCGGCACAACAGTTTAATTAAGCTCAACATCCATAACACAAGATATATAAGAATGCAAGCACTCACATGAGATTTCAGGAACTACTGCCTCACTCAAGCATCCATCTTTCATTACTGCCGATCGACATTTGCAATATAGAACATACAAAACAAGAGAACTATAGAAGCCCAAAAGCATAACACAGGCCACACCCATTGTGAACAAAGGCTTCTACTTTCCCTTCCAAAGATTTGCAGACATTGGTTTCTTGCCACGAAAAGCGCATACATTCGCAATCCATCAGCTGCAAAGGCCGAGACAAAGGTGCTTAACCGCCTCCGGGTTGCTTGGGCTGCTGATAACGTACGTTTCTGTCTTCCCGGTGCTTTGACATGTCAGGTTTAGTTGGTCTCCAAGCTGTGAAGACTGCAGGAGAAGCTTGGTGTCAGTAAAACTTCAGGCGAGTACGTAAAACTAAAATGAAAGCTCTAGTTATGCTTACAGACTGAAATAAGGTTCCAAAATGTAGCAACAAAAACAATGGCAGGCATTTGTTTCACGTAAATGAAACAGACGAGGCCACTCTATGGTAAGATAATGTCAACACATGGTCCTATGTAGAAAGGAGAAGCGATGACATATAGTTGAAAACCAGCGGGAGGGAACATTTTGACTGTTTTAACATGTGATCAGCTCATAGCAGGATGCACTGGTTGACGCTCTTAACGGTTTTCATCTAAGAGAATTTTTATGAAGAGAAAACTGCTCAGGTATGAGAATCAAGCACATCTCTTAGAATATACTCATTTCATTTGCTGTTAGGAACATCTGTCCAGAATGCCACAAAGAAGCTATATACGCAACTAGCAACATCCGATATTTCAGGGGACGACGACATTTCTTGGAACTATATATGTGTAAAAGAACTTACGAGGCAATAGTTGCTCGGTGCTTTATTACAGTCCCACTGTGAAGTAGGAACACAGCTCAGATAATGGCACCAAGAACATTGCTGGCTAGCATCGAACCCGTGCATTAGCAATACAAAGCCAGTGATGAACCTGCCAATGATAAAGTTTAGCAAAGGCAGTTAGTTGAAACCTAGAGGCTGAACTGAACAGATCATTATTTCTTCTGCTGAAAGGGAAGATATTTACCCACAAATTAATATCACCAAAGCAATCACCAAGAGTACAATTTGATATATCTTGTACTTGGATTTAGGCGTGGCCGAGTGAACTCCAAGACGAGAGTTCTTCTGGTTGATGTATCCGAACTGTGGGCGCATTAGGAGCACAAAACCAAGAAAAAAACCCGATACAAATCCACCAATATGAGCAAAGTTGTCAACATGTGGAAGGATCCCAACAGCCAAGTTGATAACAATGATCATAACAAGAGTCAATAAAGCCGCACACTGTATTTTCAAAACAAGAATGAAATTAGGCACAGTAAATATAATACAGTACAAGTTTGGAAAATTAATCCTTAGATTTAAGAACCGGCCTTATTCTCGTATATTGTCCAGTTTGTTATCAGCTCTGACAGCATGGAGCCCAGTAATCCAAACAGTGCACCTGAAGCTCCAACAGAGATATTTGACACCATAAACAGAGCAGACAGCAAGCTACCGCCGACCCCCGAGATCACATATAGTGTGCCGATCCTCACTGCGATAAACAAACATTTACACATGGTCAAGTTATATAGCTATTAGCTCTTGAAGGAACTGTCTAGGCAGAGAACTGAAGATGCAAAATCGCCTCGGCACTTACGGAAACCAAATTCCTTCTCAAGCCTGATTCCAATCATCAGGAGACTCAACATATTGGCAAGTATGTGGATAACACCAGCATGCAACCAAATGCAAGTGATGAGGCGCCACCATTCGTGGTCTCTGGCAACTTTACCAGTTTCTAGTGCCCCCATTTCCAACAGCCTGGAGAATTGGCACACATGTCAGTTGCCACTTATCAGATACAATACTAGCAAGGGTGAAAAAAACACATCACGGATATTTTTTAAAAATATTATCAAATATAGGAAGGTAGTACAATGTAGGAAAAGCATCTGAATTATACATAACTTAGTCATATATATAAATCTTTTATAAACAGTAAAGTAAGAAAGGCCAGTGGATGTCATATCAAATCAAGAAGTTCCTACAAAATCACGAAATTATAAACCGATAACAGCCGAATTACTTGAAGTTGATGCCTAAAACTATCATAATTTAGGCCGAAAGCAAAGTGCATTAGCTCAAATCTGAACCAATTTCACAAAATGCAGGCATCGGTGACAACAGAAGGAGCCAAAGAACCAAGCTTTGGGCCGGCGTCTTACGTCGCGGATGTGGGCCCGACGAGGGGGTTCTCCTTGTACGGCTGGAACGCGTACCTGCCGAGGTCCGGCTCGAGCATGCAACCGTGCGCGGCGGCAGCCCTGGCGGCCCCGCCGACGGAGTCGCCGATCGCGGCGGCGGCAGCCGCAGCGTGGGCGGGGCAGTCGTTGACGTACATGGTGCGGACGAAGAGGGCGATGTTGGCGGCGACGAAGAGCGGCACGAGGAACGGGAACCAGCGCCGGAAGGGCCGGAACTCCTGCGTCTCGCCCCGCCGCGGCATGGCGCCGCCGCCGGCGAGGGGCGCGGGCGCGGGCGCGAGGCCGGTCGGTCCTCTCCTGGGACCTCGGGCTTGCGCGCGCGTGCGTGCGGGGCGCGGGCGGGCGACGCGGGGTTCTGCGGGAGGTGGCGGGTTGGTTGGTGCGCCTCGCGCGCTTTTGTGTCGTGGAAAATGAGACGGTTTTGGGAGGAGGAGAGGCAGGCAGGCGACGGAGGACGGAGGTGGAAGAAACGGGGGAGACCCTCTATTCTTGGTCATTTTTCCCCAAAGGGAAAATTGACAGATGGATTTGAAATGTGCATTTGGATTTCTTTTACACTGCTGCAGAAATTGACAAGAATCCCTTCTTATTCTTTGCGAGAGGAATTTGTAAGTTAAACTTAAGAAGGATTAATGATCTGCTCGGCTAGTTAAGGCGGACGCAAATGTCCAGTGATACGTGACGAGTGTGATTGTGAATTTTATGGACGAAGGTGACCATGAAAGGAAGTGTGCTAATTGATACTCCCTCCGTTCCTAAAAGTAGTGCGCATAAAAATTTCGTAAAAATTCCGACATGTAGTGCGTATCTCGTTCCGCGAGTGATTTTGGACGAAATTGCCCTTCCACCGAACAGCCAGCGCCCTACCCCACCGCATAGCCCCATCGCCTCCCTCCCCCCCCTTATCTCTTTCTCGTCGCCGCTTTTCCCCACCTCCTGCTCGCCTCGATCCCCAGCGGCCTCCCACCACCTGACCTCCTCACCGATCCCCACACTCCTAGTTCATCCCCACCTCCCGCAACACTTCCTCCCCCTCTCCCATCGATCTCCGCCTCACGACAGGAGCTGTCCAATAGATCGCGGGCGAGAGGTGTGGTGGAGCCGGCGGTCTGAATGGCCGGAGGAGTTGAGGAAGAGGTGAGGAGGAAGGTTTTGGCTCTGTTGAAGGAGGCAAAGGCGACAATACAGCAAATCGAGCTGTTGCTAGGCCAAACGCCCAAGGTGGACGGTCCAGATGCTCAACGATTCGGCAAGCGGCAGCTGGAATTCGAACAAACAGAGGAGGAAGAAGAGGAGGAGATCTCTGGCGAGGACTGCGCTGGAGACTGGCTGGATGCCCTCAGTAAGGAGGACCTGCTCGAGTACGTCAACAGATTTGATGGCGGCGACGCTAACCAAGGTTCGCTCGTGACCCAGGATGTCGATGTCGGCGTCCGTGTAGAAGATGCCTCACCCATGCCGCTTAGTTTTGTTCATCACGGCGTCCATGTGGGCTGAGGTGACGCGCACATGAGGGCTGGACAGAGTTAGTGAAGGGGTATATTAGTCCCAAGTACATGTGCGAGCACAAATATTGGTATTGAAGCTGAATCTAAGACGCACTATATTTAGGAATGAAGGGAGTACCTCCGATAGATGGGTTGGTTGATTAAATGAATATAATTGGATCGATGTGTCATGAAATGATGTCATTTAAGGTAAGAATTCTTGTTATTTTGTATTAGTAAGCAACTCATGAAACTTGTTAGCTCATTAAGTCAATGATCTGAAACCAGTGATTGACTGAGTTCCATAAGAAGTGAGCTACGAATTGGGCTACCAAAAGCTTATTAAGCTCACGACTACGAGCTTTTGATCTATCCCAACCTAAACTCCAAAGTTACTCATGTGGCCATTGAAATTTTCTTGAAAGTTCCATAACAAGCAGAGACTGCATACATTCATCTACCATATGAATTTCAATCTCAATTACTCAGTGATGGCAGTTCAAGAAGATCACCCAAGTGAACATCATGATCTGGGAGTGTTCCTTTAGAAAACTACTCCCAACAAACGCTTGAGAATCGCCATGCTAAAATAGATGTAATTGGCATGTTGTGAAGAAAAATTGACATGCTAGTAGAAAAATTGCCAGGAATTTTTTGTGTTGCAGCGGGGTAATTGCCTTGCGTTTTCGAGGATTTGCCATGATGCAAAATGTAGAATCGCCAGCCTAAAAAGGAAAATCCAACCTGTTTAGATTTGCCATTCTCGCAGAAGAAAATTGCCATTCTACATCTCAGGGAATTGGTGAAAATTTTCATGCTTTAAAAACCAAATTTGTCATCCGTATGTGTTCGCTCACATTGTCATCCTGAGCGAATTCGTCCACACATTTTGGGGGTCATTTTTATTTTTTGTATCAGTGGCTGGTATCTTGTGTTCTGCTAATGGATGTTTTTTGTTCAACACTGAGATTCTTTTTTCTTGTTTCAACACTGTAGTTTCAAACTTTTAATCATTGTCTATGTAGTAAATCTTCACAAATTTGTACTCCTCTGAGTAATAACTTTATGTAGTTGCATTAAAAGACTTTACAGTAACCGCAACCCATGAAAGTGTCATTCTAATCCCGAGCTCAAATGCTCCTCCTATGAACAGTAAAAAATTTAAAAAAGAAATTCTTCACAACAAATATTGCTTAGTTTTCTGGCTGCGGGCAAATTTTCATGATGAAATCACATTCGTGAAGGTCCAGAAAAATTAACAAAAAACAGCTCTTTATAAAGTGTTTAAAAAAATATTCTTTTAGAACATCCAACAGTGTTTGTTACAAAAAAATAATCTTTTTTACTATTTTCAAATTTTACTGTTCACACAAGGATGCATTTCATCTCAGGAGCAAAAACTCCATGTCCAGCCACAACCGTCAATTTTTAAAATCTCATCTACTTTCGGTCTCTGAATGGTGATCTACCCTCGCTTAGCTGTTCACTTCATGCATGTTCAGTCATTTTTAGTAACAAACTTTATACTCCCTCCGTCCGGAAATACTTGTCATCAAGATGGATAAAAAAGGGTGTATCTAGAACTAAAATACATCTAGATACATTCCCTTTTATTCATCTTCATGACAAGTATTTCCGGACGAAGGGAGTATTAATTTTCCTTGTGTACATTGCTTGCTAATATCTATAGTTATAATCTTCATTCAAGTACAGTTTGTACAGCACAACATTTTCTAGTTGCATGAAAATCCTAGCCAAGCTTCACTATCTATGACCATAGTCATTCAAGCACAGTTAATCTGTTTATTGCGCCATGTTTCGATTATAATGCATCAGGCCCTTCCAGTACAAGTAGAGATGTATGAAAAGCCAGTCAAAAGGTTCCAAGTTAAACTTACAGCCCAGTCAGGTGCCCTTCTCAAACATGACAAACATTTGTACAGTAAAGGCACCATGCTGTAATCGTCCACAATAACGGTATTATATATGAGCATCTGATAAATAACCCAAATCACCTAGTTTTCGGAAGCTCGCCCAATGTACCCTGCCAGGCTTTTGGAACAAGAAAGTACTATATCAGCCAAGCAATTCCATTTCCACCGATCTTGCTGCCCTCCGATGGCAATGGTGGAAGAGTGCTTGATACTGCTTCAGCAGCCCACTGCTGAGCGCACACCATCATCTGCATCGCAAGGCTGTCGGGGGTGTCTAGCTTACAAGTACTTGACCATCCCACGGCCTTCAACACTAAGCTTTGAAGCCTGGAGGTTTTTCTTCTTTGGCGCTTTCAGCTGCTGCAGTTTCTTGTTCATCTGCATGCATAACATGAAGGATTAGTGATCTAACTTCCACAACATGACATACCACATGCCAGCTACAAAATATGCTAGAAAAAAATCAGTCTAGAGGTGGGGGCAGAACCTTCAGCCGGCGCTGGTCTTGAACTTGTTGCTTAGCACGAGCCCGTATCTGTTCGGGGTCAATTTTGGACTGTGGACGAATGACAAAGTCCAAAGGTGATGCTTCTGGCCTAGAAGCATGCTGCCTAGAACCACTTTGCCCGGACTTGCGCCTGCACTCAGAGCACAGAAAAAATTAATTGAGGAAAGGGGAATAGTATGCGGACCTGCACCAGATGTCAAATGTAACTCAAATACGATGTGTGAGTAGACTTACTGAGAGAAGTCAGCATCAAGATCATCGTCTCTGGATTCCATTCCAGAACTACTTGATGAAGGCCTAAATCGAGAGAAAACATAACAAATAAGAATACAGAATAAGGACAGCTAACTCAAATTAGAATGTTGCCATTTGGATGATATGCCATCTAATAGATCATCAGTCATTCAGTCAATGAAAAGTGCAGTACTAACTTCTTCATCTGAGGCCTCCTGTAAGGAGCTCTTTCACCATCATATGCCCTCATATCCTCAAATCTTGTGCTCTTTTGGAATATTGGTCGACTCTGTATTTGTTCATTCACAGTTAGTCATACATAAGACTATGAACCTTCAGCACCAAATAGAAATGATTAGGAAGAACAAGAAATTACCCATTTATCAACCAGTTCCTTGGCTAATTTTCTGTTGGAAGTAGTCTCCTCGTCAGATTTTGACAAAAACATAATAACCTAGACATCGATAATGGGATATAGTCAGCAGTTAAGCACACCCCCAATAATCTGAACAAAACTTTCCAGAATGCAATCCTTAAGAAGACATACCTTTCCCAAGCCACTTTTCTTGAGCTGCTCTCTTCTGTCGAATTGCTCAAGATCAATTGGGAACTGTGTAAACAGAAACAAATCTTAAATGAGAAAGTAGGTCCCGAAGTATAACAGTGCTCTTATGCTGTAACTAATGTGGTTCCATGTCTCAGAAGGGAAAAAAAGTTTTTGCCTACATCTGATAGTAACTTCAGTACAGCAGATCGAATATTCATATTGGGCATGCTCCCATCAGGTAGAGGCTCAAGCCAGTTCTTCAGAAGAGTGAGTATTCCATGATCAAGGAATTCCTGCTGGAGATTCTTCCTGTGAATAGTCATATACAAATGATAAGAATTAGAACTAGTTACAATAGATAGCAACCAGATTAGCACCAGAGAGAAAGTTCTGATGCTACGAATGGCTACATCTGAATATCTTACTTTGAGAGAACTTCTATGAGGAGCGGAAGCTTCATGAGTTTGTTAATGGCTGGTTTATGTTGCCTATTTAGGTTGGCATCTTCTTCAGAGGCTACTTCAAACTCAGCAATGAACTGTTCAACTATAAGACCAATATCTGCACGTGGTCGGTCATTCTTCTTCTTCTTCTTACCACCCTTAAAGAGCCGCTCAATTTCGTCGTCCTCTTCAGCTTCCTCTGCCTGTAATGAAAAGAACAAATTCACATCGTGCTTACGCAAACAAAAAACAAACAGGATCAACAAAATGTTCTGTAATAAATCCCAAGAAATGTAAAAGCATGTAATTTTAATTGGAAACTGCTAAAATACGACAGGGTGTCAAAGCTCAGTCAAAAAGGCCCCTTTACCCCGTAAAACTACCATCTATTCCCCAGGGTTATCTGATTACATGACAGGTATATACTAGCATCATTCTTCTAGTTGAATACCAGCACCCATTAAGACAATCATAGCACATGACATATGTGTATTTCGTTATTCACCCAGGAAGTCCATAACCTGGCCGGCTTTGAAGTCACCATGATAACCATTGATATGAAATAAAACACCCTAGCCAAAGCCCATGTAAACCATTGATCTGATGTAGGGGCAAAATACACAATGAACACCTTAATTGGTTACCTTGCGTGAATCATAGGGAATGACATATTTATATGTAGTTATTCACTGAGAGAGTCCATAACCTTGCCGGCTTGGAAATCATCTTACTAAACCATTGATATATATGAAATAAAAAGTTTAGCCAAAGCCCATATAAACCATTGGACTGATGTAGGGTCAAAATACAATGATCACCTCAATCAGTTACCTTCAGCTAAAGAAACCTTTGATTTGACCATTACGATAGTTTGTCTAAACACTGAAACTAAAAGCATTACCAATGGCATATGAGCAGTTAAGTATGAACACCTGTGCAAAACGTCGAGGAGAGTGGCCATCATTATCATTGTCATAACGGTCAGCTGGGTCAACCCCAGTATCATCGATGAAATTATCATCATCTAAGGTTCTAACACCTTCTTCGTCATCCTGTTCCATGAGAAAAAAATGTTAGCACAGCCAGTTAATTTGTCCAAGGCTATGATGCTATCGTGGAGCAGAAACAAACTCAATTATCGTAAGACCTTAGGAAACAAAACAAAATTTAAAAATATGGTATTATGCACATGGAATTCAGTTGAACAGTGGTTCCAATTAGTATCATCAGAACAAGAGGCTGGCGACTGCTTATCATCAGAACAACGGATCAAGGAGAACAGTTCAATATCCTGAGCAGAAACCAAAGGCTATCCCAGTTATCGCTAACAGAGCTTTGCTTGCAAAATTATGACAGCAGAATCTTGATGGACCCGGAACAAATGCATTGCCTAAGCACAACTGGTTCAATAATAAGCACACACATTTAATAAACATACAAATAACATCAACTTAACCACAGTTTAACCAATAGAATCGCCGCTTCAATCTGGACTATCCAAGAACCCTTTGTAACCAAGCTCAGGAGCTGCTAAAACCGGTATAAGGCGCAAGTCTTTACTACTACAACATACAAGCACCTACAACTGATTAAGAGTGATGAACAACAGACTGAAAGAAGATTGGAAGCAATGGTCCTCACCTCTGAGCCGTCCCCGGCGATGGTATTCCAGAGCTCCTGGATCTCCTTCTCCCCCTCTTCATCCTGATCCTCACCCCTATCCCCACCCCCGCGTCCACCGCCGGAGCCCTTGCCGCCGGAGGACGAGCCCCTCTTCTCCCTCACCATGCCCACGTCCTCCTTCCTCCTCTTCTTCTCATGCTTGTCCTTGCCCCCGCCCCTAGCGAGGTCCCTGAGGCTCGAGGACCCCTTCCTCTTCCTGTCGGCGTCCGGGTCCCCGCCCACGTCGTCGTCCGCCAGCCCCGCCGCCGCGTCCTCGCCCCAGTCCTCCAGGTCGTCGGCGGGCATGCCGCCGCCGCCGTCGCCCTTCCCGCCCCCGCCCTTCTTGAGGAGGCGCTTCCGGGGCCTGGAGGAGGACCCGTCGTCGCCGCCGCCGCCGCCGTGCACGGGGGTCGGGGAGCGGTCGCGGTTCCAGTCGGCGCCGTCGTCGTCGAGGTCGTCCTCGAGGCCGTCGTAGGGCTGCGCCCCGCGCTCGGGCGAGGGGGAGCGGGCGTCGGGGTCCATGAGCTGCTCGCCGTCCTCGTCGAAGAA